TCTGGCTGTTTTCTTAGGATCAGTATCTGGAAATGAAAGTAAAGGGTCAAAATACATAAACATTTTTAAGCCTTTTGCATTCGATTTCCTAACTGCCATTGAGAGAAATCTGAACAGCATACAGTGCCCCCAGCTGTGCAAGAGTGTTTCCCCAAACCCTTACTTACACTATATTTCATAACTTTTTAATTATGCCAATTTCATAGACCTCCCCTCAAATTGTATCTTGTTTCCATTTGCATTTATTTCATTACGCTGGACATGAAAATTTTATTGGCTAGTTGTATTTATTCTCTAGTGATTTGTTTTTTCTTGTACCTTTGCCATTTTTTCTGTTGGGCATTCATTTTTTTTAATTTACATACTTTTTTCTGTATTAAAGATATTAATCCTTGTCATATATATGTCCCAGTTTGTTTTTTGGCTTTTCATTTTAATAGACTTTATTTTTTAGAGCAGTTTTAGGTTCATAACAAAATTGAGGGGAAAGTACAGAGATTTCCCATATACCCCTGCCCCTACACATGCAAAGCCTCCCCATTACCAACATCCCCACCAGAGTGCTACAGAGTGGTACATTTGTTACCTTGGATGAACCTATAGTGACACCTCATTATCCCCCAAAGTCCATAGTTTACATTACGATTCACTCTTGTACATTGCATGGGTTTTAAGAAATGTAATATAATGACATGTAGCCACCACTATAATGTCATACAGAGTAGTTTCATTGCCCTAAAATTTTTCTGTGCTCCACCTATTTACCGCTTCCCACTCCCCCCAGTCTCTGACAACCAGGATCTCTGACAAAAGGATAGTGATCCTTTTACTATCTACATAGTTTTGCCTTTTCCAGAATGTCATAGAGTTGGAATCATATAGTAAGTTTCCAACTCTGCCTTTTCAGATTGGCTTCTTTCACTCAGTAATGCGTATGGACATAATGGCTTGATAGCTCATTGCTTTTTATCACTGAATAATATTCCATTGTCTGGATGTACTGAAGTTTGTTTATCCATTTACCTACCAAAGGACATCTTGGTTGCTTCCAAGTTCTGGCAATTATGAGGGGCCACCAAAGGGTGGCATTATTTCCAGGCCTCCTCCCCCAGAGTCCTCCCCACCGCCACTCCACATGCACACAGCACAGTTTCCGAAACCTGCACACCCTTCCCAACATGCTGTGTCCTGCTCACCCCACGGGGCAGGCCAAGGTTTGCAGAAACCAGATCCAGGATGGACGCTTGCTCCGACAGAGTCCAGGGTAAAGGCTCCTGCTCCCCTGCTGTGGTGGAAGGCCCTGAGGTGAGGGAGCCCCAGAGAGAGGGTCCCCCAACACCTTCCTGCAGCAACTTGCCTCCAGGCAAAAGTCTGCTTAAACCCTTTTACAACTCCTGTGGGGGAAATTATTTGCATTAATTAATTGACTGACTAATTAATTCAAGACACTATACTTCGGACCTACAGCTGGGGTTCCATAGACTTACTGTTCAACTGAATCAAAAGGCTCAGAAGGAAGAAAAGCAAGAGCTAACTTAGAAGTTTGGATTTTAAAAAATGTTAGAGTCTGGCCACAATGTCTCTTTGACCTTGAGAACCACAATTCAATAATTTTGGAGGAAGGGAATTCCCTGACAGTCCAGTGGTTAGGACTCCGCGCTTCCACTGCAGGGGGCACAGGTTAAATCCCTGGTCAGGGAACTAAGATCCTAAATGCTCCTCGTCATGACCAAAGGAAAAAAAAAAATCCCCAAATAATAATTTTGGAGGTTTCTTCCTTCCTGCTCGGGCTTTTTCTGAAAACAGACACTTCCCGTATCTATCAGTTACCTATAGCCCCATAACAAAGGACTCCAGAACTTAGCAGCTTAAAACCACCATCTTCAGTTTGCTCACAGGTCTTCCCGTTGGTCTGGACCAAGTCAGGCTGTTCTGCTGGGTGCTCTGGGGCTTCCTCAGGCAGCTGTCACCAGCTGGGAGCTCAGCCAGGTGGAGGGTCTGAAATGGTCTCTGTCCATGAGGTCTGGGGACTCTGATGCTGTCAGCTGAGTCTCTCTCTCCTTGTGGTCTCTCATCATTTGTGCCTGGGCTTCCTTACATGGTGGCAGGAGTATACCAAGAGTGAGAATACAGAAGGTTCTTGAGGCCAGGCTCTGGAACTCATAGAATGTCACTCGTAGCACATCCTATTGGCCAAAGCCACTCGAAAGGCCAGCCCAGATTCAGGGGTATGGAAACAAACACCACTCTAGGAATTTGGGGCCATATTTAATCTCCAACTCTGTGCCTGACATTGCAGGAGTTGCCAGATTGACAAAGAACACGCTTGCTGTGTTTTGCTGTGACAGAGCTGGCTTTTCTTATTCATTTCTGTTTTACATTTTGGTGATCTTCAGAAAGAAATGCTATATTTCTTAGGGTTTAGCATCTTCTCCCTCTACCTATAAAACATTTTTAACTTATAGCATATTGGGAGTTATTGCCTTAGATAAACCATCCTTATAATTTTAATGTACCACACAATAATTTTATGAACAAGCCAAATTATATGCCGCACATATGAGTATTCTTAAAACCAAATTGCTCTGCATGTGTAAAAAGATAAAAATTGTACATATTTCAATTTTCCCAAGATTTTATTTCCCTGTTTTTCTATGACTTCAAAATTCCCAGACATTTAACACTTTCACCCCAGGCATGAGTATTAAATCTCTGTGTTCTGTGCCAGGCTTGTGCTGAGAGCTGGGGATGCAGGAGAGCAAACGAGATACGGCCCTCAACCCCATGGCAATGGGTCTTCAGGCAGAAACAGATGTGGCCCTAGGTGACCTAGATGACTGTACAGTCATCTGCTATGACAGGCCCTAAACAACAGAGAACGAAGTCTTCTATCAACTTTGCTCCAGTTTGAACCGTGGAACCCCAGCTGTAGGTCCCAACATAATGTCTTGAATTAATTAATCGATCAATTAATTAATGCAAATAATTTCCCCCTCAGGAGTTGTAAAAGGGTTTAGGCAGACTTCTGCCTGGGGGCAAGTTGCTGCAGGAAGGTGCTGGGGGGGGGCCTCTCTCCTGGGCTCCTTCCCCTCAGGACCCCAGTCCTTCCACCACAGCAGGGGAGCAGTGGCTTCGGCCAGGACTCTGCGAGAGCAAGTGTCCATCCTGGATCTGGTTTCTGCAAACCTTGGCCTGCCCTGTGGGGTGAGCAGGACGTAGCATGTTGAGAAGGGCATGCAGATTTTGGAGGATCGTGCTATGTGCACGTGGAGTGGCGGTGGGGAGAACTGGGGGAGGGGGGCTGGAAATAATGCCACCCTTTGCTGGGCCCTCTCTGGCTGGGCTTGGAGGTGAGCCCGGATGGGCCGGCCCCACTGGGGAAGCACGCCAAGCACATGCTCTCCGGCCACTGCGGCCTCATTGTTCAATAAGCAGATTATGAAATGCTGTGTGAAGCGGCATGGTGGGGGGCTGTCTTCAGACCTGTGGCTGCCTTGTTTTGCAGACAGTCATTGCATAGTGCAGCCACTCAGGCTCCCCTCGGGAGGACAGGGAATCCCTCAGCCTTTTTGGGTCCGAGTTTGCCGTGTGGCTGCGTGCTTCAGCTTGTCTACCTACCCTCCCATCCAGCTGTCTATCTTTACCTGAGTCTGTTTCCTGGGAGAGCGCAGGTGCCCCTCAGAAATGGGAGGACCTGGCTCAGCTCACTTCCTTAGGCAGGTGGGGAAGAACTGCACACCAGGCCCAGTATTGTTCTAGAAGCAGCTAAGTTTCTACAAAGGCCAGTCTTCCTCTTTGAGGAAGTTCCAAGTTAGAGGGATTTGCTTGAACAATCCAGAGTAGCTTCATTTGGAGACCTGGTGCCCATCAGAGGAAGAGGTGCCTCAGGATTAATTGCCTCCGACACTTTTATGTTCTCGGCTGAAACAGGAAAGTGGGATAAAGTGATTGCAGTCTTACCTCTGTGGGATATCAGGGTTGGGATCCAGAACTGATGCTTGCCTTTACTCTGGCGATATTTTAGCAGTCATCTGCTAGATGTTACTATTAAATCTCAAGAGACAGCATTTAACCTGTGGTGTAGCTGAATCCAGGTAATAAAATATTTGGCAACCGAGGAGCCAAACAAAATTATTAAGTTTTTAAAGAAGCAGAATAAGGTAATGGGGTTGTATTGCTGAACTTTGAACTTAGAAGCAGTTAAATACACTGGTGAAGGCGTGGGCCACAAAGCTTGGGTTCAAATTCCAGCTCTACCACCTGCTAGCTGTGTGACCTTGGACAAGTTACTTAACCTTTCTGAGCCTCAATTCCTGTTTTGTACAATGGTGGTAATAACCGCCCATTTCCTAGGATTTATTGTGAAGCTTATATGTGATAAAAAGCACATGAAAAGTGGTTAACACAGAGCTAAGTGTTTACTATTAGTATTAATAGTATTATAACCCCAATTTTTCCTTATGGAACCACTATTTTTTCAGGAAAATACTGAACCAATTTGAACCCAAACGGAAGCCCCATGCTGTCTAAAATGGTCACAAAACAGCTTCTTTTAGTAAGCCCTGAAAACCAGGGTGCCCAGCACTGAGCACTGTTCATTCTACACGAAGCCATGTTATTATCTTCGCTGTGCAAAAGAGGAAACAAAGGCTCAGAGAGGCTTGGTAACTTGCCCAAGGTCACACAGCAAGGGCTCAAACCCAGTCAGTAGGACCTCATCTGCCATTATGACAACCTAATATCTGTGTTGAGGTGGAACAAAATTTGATCACAAAAATGCTTTCCCATCCACATTAAAGTGTAATTGGGCAAGACTTGTGATAGGATTCATTCGTTCATTCATTCATGGGTGTCCATGGACAGCCTCTGTGTGCCCAGCGTGTTCGGCTATATCTCTGAGTGTGCACGCACGTTTAAATGGTTTCCCCAGCCCTCCCTGCCCTTCCCCCATGGCTGCACAACAGAGAAACATGTGGCCCTCACATGACTTGCTCCACCAGCTCCCCCTCCAGCGTGGACGCCCACCTGCAGTTCCCGGACAGCAGTGGCCTCCTGCAGCCCCCGCGCTGGGACGAGCCGCAGCGAGCCTGCGCCTTGGAGCAGATCTGCGGTGTGTTCCGAGTGGACTTGGGTCACATGCGCTCCCTCCGCCTCTTCTTCAGGTGAGGCCCTCTTGGCCATGTCCTGGAAGCTGCCTGTGTGCCATGTCCCGGGGGGCCATGCTTGGGTCCAGCACCCCTGCATCCCCAAACATCTGCTTCCCAACATCACTAGTCTCGTCAGCAGTGCCCCCTACGGCTGCCCCACAGGAGCTGGGTCTGGGTAGCTCCCAAACTCTTTCCTCTGCTTTCAGGGTGATAGTAAGCAGCTGTTGCCTGGAGCTCTGGTTTGGGGAAAGACGACGAACCAGGGCTACACAGAGAGCAGTTGCTGCAGGCTGCCCCCGGTCCCCCACCCAGAGGCCCAGCGTGCTCAGAATAGGCCATGGCTTTCTAGAGGGAGGCACCCTTTCCTTCATTATGGGGACCCATCCCTTTTAGTTCCCTGCCTAACGGCCACCTCATGTCTCTCTTCCTGAAAGGCAGGGTGGCCCAGCCGCAGGAAAGCACCAACCAAGACTGGTGCTTAGAAGAAGCAGACGTGTCTCTGTGGGAGTTCCCAGACCCAGAGCCACATCCCGCCTTTCATGGAAGGGAAGCCAAGTTTGGGCGATGGCCCTGAGGCATGTGTCGTGAATTTCCCCGGAGGATTCTCCCAGAGCGCCTTCCATGCTGGATGGGGAAGGCTGCTGGAGGGGCATCCCTTAGCGCCCGCCCCATCTGGGTTCAAAACCTGATTCCCCATCAGGGCATCCACCCCCAGGACTCCCAGAGAGAAGGGAGGATATGACCTGGCAGGCAAGGGTGGAGACAGAAGGCTGCTCTGGCAGGTCTCCCGGGAGTGAGGACAATACAACCTGGGGTCTCCCAGGAAGGGAGCTGCTTTGCCTTCTTCAGCAAAGGAGTGATGGCTTCTGTTGGGGCGTAATTCTGTCCCCTTGCCACCAGCAGCCAAACTCCACGGGGACTTTCTGTTTCCTGCCTCTGAGGTTGGCGATAGGGGCCTCTGATTATACTTGGAAATAAAAACCCATGTTTACATATTCATGGGTCTGTTCTCTTCCACCCTCCGATGGCCACTCAGTGATGAGGCCTGCACCAGCGGCCAGCTGGTCGTCGCCAGCCGGGAAAGCCAGTACAAGGTGTTCCACTTCCACCACGGTGGCCTGGATAAGCTGCCCGACGTGCTTCAGCAATGGAAATACTGCACAGAGACGCACCTCAAAGACCAGGTAGCCCGGAGGAGGGTTGGGGACTGCTCCCAGGGTGGGGAGGCCCTGCACCACCCCTGGAGGCACCTGGCTGCTGAGACACCCCCCGTCCCATTCCCCACTCCCCTCCAACGGGGGCCCAGGACATTGGTTCTCTCCCCCGGAGACCCAGGCCTCTCCGGTGTGACCGGTGGTCGCTGGGGGTCTACAGAGCAGCAATTTGGGATTTGAAACATGTGCCCAGGCTTCTTGTAAAGGCAGTACTCTGCACTTGAAAAATCATGTTTTGACAAGGCTTCCTGCCATATTTTGCTCAATCTACATACAAATGTAATAAGAGCTCTTTAATTATCTGGTTAAGATACTGTATGTGCTTATTAGAAACGGGCTGACTTTAAAATTCCCTTCCTTCCCACAGAGCCTCCTGCTGGCTTCCCTTATTACAGTAGCATGGCTTTTTTTTCCCCCTACATTGAACAACCTTTGATTTTTGAATTAAATGTCAGCTGCAGTTTTGCCCTGGATCCGTGACTGCCCGTGGAGACAACCTGACAGGCGGGCTCCCCGCTCGCAGAACAGCCATCCCTTTGTATGTGGCCAATCACATGTAATTTATTGCAGGCCCTCCCGGCAGAGGGAAGTTGGCCGTCCGAGGCATTAATTCCGTCTTTGCTGCGGGGCTGGAGGGAGAGTGGGGGGCGGCAGTCGATGGGAGTGGGCCGGGAGCCGGGAGCGCGAGGGGGGACCATGGTAAGAGGATGGTATTTTCATTTGAATTGTGTCTAATTACACTTGCCATTTAGGAGTTTGTATGCAGGGAAGAGGCGTCCCCCACCTTTCGGAAGAGAGAGGAAGGCTTACATCCCGCGAAGAGCGCGGCTGGCTTCGAAAGCGAAGCGGCTGAGACACTGATCCCCAGCTGTCCTCTCGTCCAGCAGGTCGCCGACGAAAAGACGTGCATGCAGTTCTCCATTCGGCGTCCCAAACTGCCGTCTTCCGAGACGCACCCCGAGGAGAGCATGTACCGACGGTTGGACGTCGCGGCCTGGCTCCGCCACCTGAACGCGCTGGGCCAGGTGGAGGAGGAGTACAAGCTCCGCAAGGTGAGGCCCGGTGTGCCCGCGGGGCCCGATTCAGGACCAGGGGTCGGGGCCATGCCCACGGGCCGCCTCCGGGGGGTGCGTCCGCTGGTGCCAGAGCTGGCTGTGTGAACGCGCCCGATAGAGCAATCAAAGCCGCTGCGATGAAAAAGCAACCTCCGGAGCGGGTTTGGAAGACCCCGCGTCAGCCTGTATAGCAGAGCTCGCAGCCCGCGCCGCGATTCCAAAACCGGGATTAGGCCCTGACGTGAGAACGACAGGTTAATCTGAGTGCCGCACCAGGGGGGGCATTGACATTGAAATGAGCCTGGTTTGTGTCCTGTATGGGAATGGGGGCCCAGCACTTTCCCCTTCCAAACATGTGCAAATTGCAGCGATCTGAATCAAGGCATCAGTTGTCAAGAAGGCGCTGCAAAGCCACCAAAACACAGATCTCCGGGGATTTGGGGGTCCTTTGAGCGGCCCTGCTTTGGCCCCTCCCAAACTTTTGCCGCTTCCTCCAGGCCATTTTCTTCGGCGGCATTGATGTGTCAATCCGGGGGGAGGTCTGGCCCTTCCTGCTGCGTTATTACAGCCACGAGTCGACGTCGGAGGAGAGGGAGGCGCTGCGGGTGCAGAAGAGAAAGGAATACGCCGAGATCCAGCAGAAAAGGTGACCGCGGCGACCGACCGCGGCGACCGGCCGGGGCTCCCTCGAACCGCGGAGGGAAACGAAACCTACCCCAGCGCCGCGTAAGGGAAACCCACCCCAGCGCCGCGTGAGGGGAATGCCATTTGGAAAGGCAATTTGAGGTGCAATTCAGCATTGCTAATATGTTCCGTGACCCATAGTTTCCTTGAAAAATGGGTCTCCCAGGACCGTGAGCGATGGGGCTGGATAAGTGCAGTTATTACCCCAGCGGCGGGCCCTGGGACTGGCTCTCTTTAGCTCGCATGTCAAGATTTTAGAATTCTTTTTCAACGTACTTAACGAGGCGCTGACATCCTTCCGCTGAACGCCGGGGTGGCGGGGTGTTTGGGGGGCACTGGGACTGCTGAGGTCTGTTTGGGCCTCGCTGATCCCGCGGCTGCGGTCAGCTCTCTGTTTGGGACCCGTGAGGCCGAGTTAATGTTTGGAAAGCCTTGTGCACCCCCCCACCCCAGGTCAGTGGGAGCCGGAGGGTTTGCCAGCGGCCCCAGTTCCCATCTGGGAGCAGGGTTGGGTGGGACGCCCGCGCCAGCCGGGAGCGTATGTGCCGCTTGCTGACCCCCCAGCGGGCATTCTGCTCCATGCCAGGCTCTCCATGACCCCTGAAGAGCACAGAGCGTTCTGGCGGAACGTGCAGTTCACCGTGGACAAGGATGTGGTACGGACAGATCGAAGCAACCGGTTCTTCCGAGGAGAAGGCAATCCCAATGTGGAGAGCATGAGGTACCACCTCCCGGGCCAGCATGGTTCCCCGCCCCCCTCGGTTTCACTCCCATCTGCCACCTCACGCCTCAGGCCTCAGTTGACCCTCTGGGAAGTGGATGAGCAGCAGCTTCTGCAGGGGTCAGGGGTCTTTCCTCCAGGTTCAATGCCCCAGAATCAGAGGGTCATTAGCTATTTTAGGCAATGTCAGTGGGTCTCTTATTGTCGTAGAGACCCAGGGAAGGCCTGCAGGCCCCACCCACTGGGCATCCACCAAGCCTAACCTTGCTTGTCTCACACCGGCCGTGGGCCAGCCTCCCCCTGAGGGTCTCTGTCTCCCATTGGGTGGGCTTCTGGATGATAAAGCCACACAGGGCTGAGGCTGGCATCTTTGACGTTCTGCTACCTCCTGGCAAATAATTGCACAAAATTAGCAGCCCATGAAAGCGTTCCTGGCCAGCCCACCCTTTGTCACAGGCAGTTGACAATTAAGAAAATCAGACCCACATTCCTCCTTGCCCTGCTCTCGAGGGGCTGGGCTGGTGAGTGCCTAATTGCAGGCCATTACCTTTCCCCGGGCTCTGGAGACGGTCCCAGAGCTGCCCTCCTTCCTCTGAGATCAAGGTGAAAGATGGGGGCCCGGACAGCCCAGGATCTCCAGCCTGGGGTTCTACTGGCCTGCACAACAACACACTGCTATGTTGCGGCCGCCCTCCACTGACCTCCCTGCTCTCTGCACTGCGTCTCCAGGAGGATC